GTAGGGGAATTGTTGCTGGAGAGAGGGGTGTGGGCCCACGTAAGGCGGGCCGTGGAACTGTTGGGTTTGTGGGGGCGGGTACCCGAATTGCTGCTGCTGGGGCGGTTGCTGTTGGATGTTGGTGGCTGCTTGGCGCTGTTGTTGGGCGTAGGCCATGGCGGAGGCGGAGGCGTAATCGTGCGGCTGCCGATCCATTGCGCGCCGTTGACTGCCAGAAAAAAGAAAAACAGTAGAAGCTGTTTTGTGTTCTGAGTGATAATTCTGCTTCTTCGTTGAGGAAAATTTTGATTTGGGGATTTTTGGGAAGCTCAGTCCCCTGGTTCGGGCGGGGGTGTTAGGGCTTGTCACGCTTGTATTGTATATGTGAAATTAGAAATTAAAAATAATAAAAAGGAATCCAAATCTTCTTGGAAATTCCCATTTTACCTCCAAATTTAACTTCCCTCCGGTTTTCTTTTTCTTCCTTCCGAAATATCGGCTTTAATTTATTTTACAAATTTAAGTGCTGAGCTATGGTCTTATTAGGTTATGGTTTGGTTCAAGTGCTGAGCTATGGTGAAGTAATGAGTTACGATTAAAATCAGTCATTCTACTCTTTCTTATAGTAAAAATAAAATAAAATAGTTTAAAAGAAGAGATTGAGAGTTGCTTCACAATTCTTAAACCCCAGGGGGGTTTGTTGAAGTGGGATTGAAAGTTTCATTTCATGCTTGCTAAAATAGTTAAGGATTTAACTATAATTTCAAAATTTATAATACGGGATTTAAGGTTTGAGTTTAGGGTTGGATATGAACTTTAGAATCAACAATTTGGCATGAAATTTCTGATTCATATTCAAATTGGGTTTAAGTTTGGATTTAGGTTTGGGTATGAAAATTTGTATGAGGGTTGAGTTTAAGGACAATATTTAGTGCAAGGGTGGGAGTTCATGTTCAAAGGTTAAAGTTTAAAGATCGAGATTCAATGGTGATCGAAATTTGTGACTTGAAAGGTCATGATTTAGGATTTGGGTTTGAGTTTCAGGTTTCGAGATAATTATAATTTGTGCTATAAAATCTAATGTTATTTATAAAGATAATCCAATCTTGCACGTCAAATGATATCATAATTAAATACAAGACAACAAAAGAATAAATGTGAAAGTACTTAAAAATTTACAATTTCCATTACCAATGGTATATGACGTTTTCTAAGTCATCATTTTGGTCCCCAATGTTTAAAATCGTTCAACGTTGTCCTCTAAATTTTTAATCCGCACATCAATGTCATCTATGCCGTCCAATTCGTCAAATTATGACTTTTTTTAAGGGTTTGGCTTCAGGGTCATTTTTGTCAATACACATCACCCCATCTGAAATTTATAATGGGCCATTAACTACCGGATCAAATTTGGAGGCCCGTACCCGGACCATTACCAGTGTCTGAAACATGCCCTAAAACCCTCCCTCAAAAACCCTCTTCGTTTTATAGCCTCACCCTTCGAAAACTCTCTTATCTTTGCGTCAAGCAAATGAAACTGGTATGGCGATGATTAATTTTCAAAGGACCTTATCATTGACCGCCCCCACTTCCTCTGCTTCTTCATTCTTTTGCTCAAACACGTTAGCTTCTTCAGCTCTGCGACTCCGCCGCTCCATGGCCAAGGTTCCCACTTTGCGTTTCTTTTGTTGTTTGCTTAGTAAAACATCAATCTTGTTCTTTTATTTTCATCTTTGATTTTCCTTCAATCTCTTGCTTTTCCCAGAGGACCACTTCCTTCAAAGCCCGAAATGATGATACTATTTCTAGCTGTAATTAAAGCCATGGTCTGTTTTGGGTTGCTGGGACATTCAAGTCTGTAGCTTTTTCACATTGGCTGGGCTAATTTAGCGACTAATACAAATATTAAGCGTAGATTTTCGTTGGGTTTTCTTAAATGTGCTATATTCAAGCTAGTGCAACATGGGATATTTGTCAAATTTTGTGTGTATGTGTGTGCTTGTGCCAATGCGTGTTCACAATTTGTTTACGTATGCTGTTTCTCTGAAAATCGTATTCTAATGTGTGCAATTGGTGTCACAGTTGCAGTACAGGGCATTTGAGACTTACCCATGCGTTTGCTTGCCATCTTCCCCGATTTTGACTGCAAGTAAATACAGAAATTATTCTCAGCTTAAGTTAAAAAAATCTGGAGTTTCTTGCATGATCATGATAAACCCTGCAAAGGTTGGACCTAGTTTTCATTCTTTCAGAAGAAGTGGTGATGGGTCTGAACGTGCCTTTTCTAATTTAAAACCTGGTTCCCTGAATTCTTTGGGTCCTGGTAATATTATCAGTCTCGGGTCTTTCGGAAGTGTAGCTAATTATAGCATTGGAGATTTTTCCAAGAGGTTTTTTTCTCAAGTTCCACATGTGACAAGCAAATTAGAGAGTGTTGGTGCCCAAAATGGCAAGTATTCTGTAAGTACATCTTTTTTCAAACAGCTCAGTAAACGGAGGAAAAGGGAAAAGGCATTGGCGGCTCAAAGCAAAAACGAAGCTACCGTTTCTAGCATCTCCAAAGATGTTGATGTAGAAGCTTCAACTGAACGGCAGATTGGAAGTGAGAAGGGAGATGGAAAACTGGGATCTTTCCTTTCAAATTCGCCTATAATCAATGATAACCAGGTCCCTAAAGTCAAAGGAAAAAAGAGGTCGAAAAGCAAGAAAACTAAAGAACAAATTTCTGCTGCTAATGCCCCAGCAGAAGCTGCCGCGACACAAAGTTCTAAAGGTACTTCTCAAACAAAGAAATCTGGTAGTACCAAAAGTGGCAAAAAATCTGCACAGGATTCAGAGGTCAGCAACTATAAATTTTCAAGTAGAATTAGGATTGAATCTTATTTTTACATTGCACTATTGTAACTAACACTGCAGTCTTTCAGTTGAATTTCACGGGAAAAGCTCCTGTAGAAATTAGTGATGGTTCTTCAATAAAACCCCAGGCAAAGAAGAAAAGTGGGAACTATAGTAGAAAGGGAAAGTCTATAACTTCAGATTCCAAGTCACCCCAGAAACATATACCACAAAAAATGGGCAAAGTGAAACCTCAAGGAAAAATGACACTGAAGCAGCTGTACCCCGCGACCGGGAGAACTGTCGTGGTTGTGGAGTCTGCTACAAAGGCAAAGGTTATTCAGGGTTATCTTGGTGATATGTTTGAAGTGCTGCCTAGCTATGGTCATGTAAGGGACTTGGCAGCTAGGTCAGGATCTGTAAGGCCTGATGATGATTTTAGTATGGTGTGGGAAGTTCCATCTGCTGCCTGGACTCATCTTAAGAGCATAAAGGTTGCACTAACTGGGTATGGTTCTTTATCATTTTCATTCACGTCCAATTGGCCTTAAGCAACTGTGATTATGAGGCTATTAAGGTTCCCCATATGGTTGGAAACTAATGATATGCGTTTTTTGTGGGCATTCATTCTAACCTAGGATGCTGGTGTATAATACTGATATTGAATTCAGTAACTTAAGCATTTCTATTTTTTAATTTCAATTTTTGGGGTTTGTTTTTTGAATTTTCTTATTTGTTTTACCTTGTTCATCAGAGCAGAAAATCTTATTCTTGCATCAGATCCTGATCGTGAAGGAGAGGCTATTGCTTGGCACATTATTGAGATGCTGCAACAACAGGATGCTTTACGTGAAGATATTAATGTAGCAAGGGTTGTCTTTCATGAAATCACTGAGACCTCTATCAAAAGTGCTCTGCAAGCTCCAAGAGAAATTGATGAAAACTTGGTCCATGCTTACCTTGCACGACGTGCTCTTGATTACTTGATTGGATTTAACATTTCACCACTGTTATGGAGGAAACTACCAGGTTGCCAGTCTGCAGGGCGAGTCCAATCTGCTGCACTGGCTCTTCTATGTGACAGAGAAATGGAAATTGATGAATTTAAACAGCATGAGATTGAATTGAACCAAAAAGAACCAGGTTCATCAGTAAATGCCCCAGACTTCTCAGCGCACTTGACCCATTTTGATTCCAAAAAGTTAAATCAATTTTCTATTGACTCTTATACCAAGGCAAAAGAAATTGAACAGCAGATTAATTCACAAAATTTTCAAGTGGTCAGCTCTAAGAAAAACAGAATGCGGAAGAATCCTCCCACACCGTATATAACATCAACACTTCAACAGGATGCGGCAAACAAATTACATTTCAGTGCAGCATATACAATGAAGGTTTTGGTTTGGGGGCCTTTATCTTCTGATTTCCATCTAAGCTAAAATTGAATTTTACATTTAATTAAGTTATTATCATTGCTTCAGAATATTTATGTTTTTTTTATTAGCTTTTGGTTCGTTTCGTATGCTGTTGAGGATATTTTTGCCTATTATTGTTGATCAACTTTGATCTTCATATGTGTAATGGCTGTTTGACTGATCCAGTTCATATGGAATGTTGTATGACTATAGGGGTACCCTTTGGACATTGTTGTTTGTCTTTCTGCTTTAGTTTATCTTCACGTAAAGTCATAAACTTCTTACCATAACCAAGTATTGCTCATTTTGATTTTTTCTCTTAATTGGACGTGCAATACCATATGTAGTCCTGGTGCAACATATTTCATAACCATGAAGAGTTGTTATTTAGTTTCAGTGTTCCTCTTCTGTTCTAGTCAGTAGTTTGTCCTTTAATTCAGTTGGCCTTTTGATTTCATGCTTTGAATTGGTAGGTGTAGATTTTTTGTTTTTTTGCTTTTCAAATATGTATGTGGCTCATGGAAGTTACATTATGTATGCAGCTTGCACAGAAACTTTATGAGGGAGTTCAATTATCAGATGGTAAGGCAGCGGGTTTGATCACGTACATGAGAACAGATGGACTACACGTAGGTATCACTTTGGCTGCATGAATATTAGTGCGTGTTAGTTCATTAAGTTTCTTGTTGTCTGTCAGATGATTTTGGTGGCTAGCTTCCTTCTGCACATTTGTATTGCTTCTCTTTGGGTGATCAGTTTTTAATGACCTCTGAATATACTGAATTTCTAACTTTTCGTTAGATTCTAACTCACTTTGGTTTTCAAGTAACTGTAACTGCGTACTTCTGTCATTTATTTAATCAAATGATTTTTAAATTCATCTCATCCCCTTCAAGGCAAGTACTGTATATTGTTTTTATATCGTTTAAAATTCCTTTGTGTGCTGCTTTAAGAACAATTATTTTATTGGTCTTACGTAAAACAGAAATCCACTTGGTGCTTTCAACGAATTTGTAAGAGTGCTTTTGACCTACTAAGCATCTTTTTGTCTAATGTGAAAGGACAATTGTGAAATAAATTTTTAACTTGATTATAACATTGTTCTTTCTAATTAA